TCTCCTCGTGCCTGCTGCTATGTATTCTCTATGTCCATTCCTCTAGATAAAAATTGGCTGGGACCCCCACTAAGGAATTGGTTTATCGGGGGTGGCTTTGTCTCATTATTAGCGTAGCAGCAAAATTGGGTCTTTGAGCTATATTAGAAAGCAAATAAGGATTTGATGAGACTCAGTAGCCAAGAGTGAAGTGCATGCATCTGATTAAAGTGTGGCCTGTGCTATCTATATTTATACCTAATGAAGAGACAGACCTGTGGGTTTAGCAGAGAAGGAACTCCAAACAGTTCTAATAAAAAGCTAAATATGTAGACAAGGCAGATTCCTGGTATTTTATTTCTTTCCAAAATCAAACATAGCATAAACAATATTTTGCATTTTTTTGTCTTTGCATTAAACATTTCTAAAATCAGCGGGAAATGTTAAAAGTGTAATTCTTTCACATATGGCTTTCCTTGGTGGTAGTTAATTCAAAGAAAAAGAGTCCACCATGATTAGAATTCTTAAGGAAATCATTAATAAGTTAGACCTCAAAACCCATTTCCAAACTGAGAACAAATTAAAAATTATTAGCAGTTAGGTAAAATATTATTTGTAACTCTTGTGACATTTCAATCTTTTTTGCCATGGTGTAAAATGATGTGTGTTCCCAAATCACATCCTAAATATGTTCCTTGGTAACTCAAAACCTCGTAAGCTATTCCAATGTGTAAATTACTGCTTTATTTTCAGATAATAGGATATAAACCCTTTAAAGTTATTTTCTGATTAATCTAAGTTTAAAAAATATTCATCTTATTCCAATGGAAATTCTGAATTAAGTATATCAGAACAATTACAATTCTATTAAATAAGATCTTATATTAGTTTTATCAAAATTTGTTTATATTGAATGCATGTATCATTTTAACTTGCACAATTTGAGATATTCATTCTGCTTTTATAAGAATTACACAACTTTTCAGAGTTAGGTTTAAAATTAAAAATTCGGAACGAGATAATTATTTACATTTCTAATTATCTAATATTTTCTATCAGTAAAACCATGAAAACAAAAGGCAAATGAGCCTCCTTTTTAGAACCCATAAATCTCAAACATGAAAGCAGAAATAATTTAGAAGGAAACCTCTGGAATCCTCTATCCATGCATTTGGCTTTGCCTAGTGATGAGTTATTCTATTTTGAAAGTCTTATTAGATGGAAATTTCAATTCTACTAATAGAGTCTCATTTCTATCTTGATTATAGACTCAAGATGCATTTTTTTCTACTATAGCTAGATCTTATGTCCTTTTATTTCTAGTGAGCATAAATAGACCACTGTTATATTTTGAAGACTGGGATAAGTCAACATGACCTTTCCTAATAATTTTTATATGGTCTTTTAATAAACTCCACAGAAATGACATCCTCCTAGCAATAAATTTAGAGACAAAGTTATTTGTATATTCTTTCTCAAAAAAGTTTCCATCTCAATGTATTTCATATAGATGGTACTCAGATTTTGATATGATCAATTTACCTGTTAATAAAATAGATAGATAGATAGATAGATAGATAGATAGATAGATAGATATAGATAGATAGATAGATGATACATAGATAGATGACAATCAATTTAATGTGTCTAGGGTTCAGTGGTAAGGTGAACAATAATAGAATCAATCTTAATATCAACAGTGGTAATGGATCTAGGTTTCCTTGAAAAAAAAAAAAGGTACATCAGGGACTTTTGGTATCTCCAGAGTATAAGTCATAGACTACAAAACGCAATTCACATCAAAAACAAAAAGAAACACCTACTACAATGAACAAGGAGCCCTCATTTTCAAATATCTCTGTCCCTCCAGGCATGGGTATCCAACTGGGTGTGGTAGAAGGAGCTTGAGGTGCAGACAGGCATGCATTAGGACCTTCTGTGTATGGAAGCTCTAAGGGGCAAGATGGATCTCAACAAGACACCGACCAATACTGACACAGGTAGTAACCACTGGGATTAAACAGGGAGATGAGTGTCAAATGTGAAGCAATATTATTTGATGGCACAAAATAATACCTAATTTGTCTTAATTGTCAGCTCTGTGCTAGGAGTTTCATATACATTACTACAATTTGATCTTTATACAGGTAATTAATAATTTGTTTTTACAGATGAATAAGAGAGGGACAGAACAAGTAAGCTTATTTGTCTGAAATTACAATGTTAATAAATGGTTCAGCTAGGACTTGTGTACAATTGTCCGTGAGTGGGAAAGCCCTCTCAACTGGGTACCCTGCTACCTTCCCAAGGCCTCACATGCCAAACAACACTTGGCACTCATGCTAGTATTTCTTAATGAGGAAACTTTGGAGGATTCTCCCCTTCAGCAATCTTCTTTATCCCTTGCATGGTACAAGTGCAGCCCAGAATGGACTTATTTTATGTCCACACTAGTAACATGAGAAACACACAGACACAAATGCTTCAGCAATCTAATTCTAGGCATTAGGCTAAATAATTCCTTAACAGTTCTATTGGGCACCCATAGCAGATACCGTGGGATTCCCCTTCTACATAGAGTAAGCCTTGTAACTCTGACACAGAAGTTGCAGCTATATTGTGAAAGGCATGCTAAGAGTGAAGCTAATCAGGGACCAAATACAAAATTTCTAGCAATGTCAATGAGTAATGTAGATGAATTAGAGGAAAGTTACATGCACCCACAACATACTGTCAGACCTACTCAATTTGTTTCTGACTTTGGAACTCTGTGTGAATCACTGATTTGGAATACTGAACGTGATACATCAGCATGCTATTTTAAAACCATCTATATCCTCTAAGCTTGTTGTGCCTTTTCCTGCCCATTTAAGTACATTCTTAAACATTTAATTAATATCTCAGCCCCACTGAGGTACAAGTCAGTCTAGTTGCTTAGGTAATTAGCAATGAAGACAAAAGCATCTAATCACTGTTGGAAAGTGAAAGATTGGAATTTAAGAATATTAGTGCCCATAATTCAAAGCTGATAATGTTAAGCCTCTTGAAAAAATAAGTGTATCATGAAGAGCCACATATAATTTGCATTACAATCCTAAATTCCTTTCCTTTGAAGCAGAATGAACAGCATTAGGAAGTGGCATTACAAAAAAAAAAAAAAAAAAGGAAGTGGCATTACTAGCACAAGCTAATCTTTCATGCCACACTAATCTGTCTAATCAAAACTACAGCACAGCTTGTGTGAGCATGCTGTCTGCCTCGGAAGGACCAACTGCTAACACAACTCCATCTAACAGCATGTGCTTTTAAAAGAGAATGCACTTATTTTTGCTTTCTGTACAATGAGTTTAAAATCAACTTACGTTTTTGAGAAAAGACTAAAGTTAAAAATATCTTTGCTTACATGGCTATCTTTAACATTTGTGACTGTGACCGAATCTGCAGTGCTGTGTGCCGTTCTCTCATTTTTCTAAAACCTGTTCAAAAACACTGATTTTTCTGTACATATTTGTAGTAAACTCAAGGCCTGAAACACATATTTTATAGGATGTTCACCGCAGAGTGGCAACACAGTAACCCAAGTAAGATTTTGGAGAAGAACAAAACAAGTGATGAATACTAACAAACTGGATCAGTTAGTCCAAGCATGCAAGATTGAGAACCCTCCTGTATCACTACTTGTGGAACTGTGGTTTCTCACAGACACTTCACAGGTGCCTTGCTGAGGATTGAAATACACAAACGTATCAGAATAGTTTTCTCTAAATAGCTTTTAACAGAGGAGCAATGTATTCAAATGCAATCCTTGAACATAAACTTTTAGACATAATTTCTCCTCTATCCCTTCTTATGTGAGCCACTACAGAAATTCACGGAAGGCTCTTTAAATCTTATTTAATCAACCATGACAAATGTTTCCCAAATGCCTAATGCAGTCCTAATCTTTTAGTTCCACGTTTTATGTCTTCTAACCATCCCCATCAGAAGCCCTTCCACTTTCCAGCTTCTCCCAAAGTGTGGTTTATAGGCCACCTACAATGGAACCACTTGGACCTGATTGTTAAAATCTGAATTCCTGGGCCCACCTAAACTGACTGAATCAGAACATATGAGGCTGGGCCTTCAGATCTGCATATTTATCGACACCCAAAAATACATACATGCATACATACATACAGAACACAACAACACAAAAACAAAAAATTGATGACCATTCTGCCCCGTGCTAATTCAGGATGCCTTGAGATTAAACTCCTTTAAATTTTTCTCTTTCTCTTTCTCTTTCTTTCTCTTTCTTCTCTTTCTTTCTCTTTCTCTTTCTCTTTCTCTTTCTCTTTCTCTTTCTCTTCTCTTTCTCTTTCTTTCTTTCTTCCTCTCTCTCTCTCTTTCATACACACATACTTTCTATGCTCTTCCAGTTGACTCTGCTACTGGGTAAGACTTTGCAAACAAAAATTCTATTATGTATAAGATTTTATTCATTTTTTTTCAGATTTTATTTATTTGAGAGACAGAGAGCACAAGCAGAGGGAGTGGCAGAGGGAGAGGAGGAAGCAGACTCCCTGCTGAACAGGGAGCCCAACATGGGGCTCCAATCCCAGACTTTGGGATCATGACCTGAACTTAATGTAGATGTTTAATGAATTGAGCCCCCCAGGCACCTCATATTATTTATATGCTTTTAAACATTTGCAAGGAGTTAGAGGTGTATTTCACCTAGAGATATATTTAGTGGACATTGAGGGTTGCTTATTATGTTTTTTCCAGTTCTTCTATTAATCCCTGCCAAAGTATTTTTTTGAATTACATTTTGTCCTGGATACTTACTACTCACAGACCTGTTTCTAATATGAAACACACATGCGGGCACCAATGAAGAGATCATCTGAAAATCTGATTAGCACACTGGACCAATGTCACATCTACCTAAGGAGTAAGTTAAACAGTGTTTAGCAATGCAGTAGATCCTTATTTGCACATGGGGAAAATTATGATATTAAGAAAAAGTAAAGAAAACTCACCACTTCTTCATGTCTGCATTTTCTCACATTGATTCCATTTATCTGCAGTGAAAAGAAAATTATGGTTTCATGTGGAATACTGTGAATTGAATTTATGTTTTGGTTGCACATAGAAAATAAGGGTAAAATGTATACCTGTAGAATTGCATCTCCTATAAAAAGCAGTCCTGAAAGTTCCGCTGTGAAGGAAGAAAGGCAATGATTATGCATTGACTATTTTCTTCATACAGATGAAAGGGTTTTATAATTAAGTAAAATAAAAATTGATACAAGGGAAATATTAAATGTTTTATACAGATAGCATCTTAAAAGATCCACAAGTAATAGGAATGCAAAAGCAACTGTATGATTCTGCCCAAATATTGGAACACCTATTTCCATTTAATCAGCTCACTTCAAATCTTACAGTTGCCCAAAACTTGTTACTCTTCTTGATGGACTACAAAAGTTTCTCATGTACTTATAATATTAAAGTATCTGTGAGATAGTTTCTATCTAGACATTAATCCATCAGCTATGAGATCAACTCTGAGTTTCTTTTTAAACATTAGATTTTCTTACTGATTTCAGTCATTGAAACAGTTGTTTTACATCTTTGGATGAAATATCATGGCAGATTAAGTTAAACTGCATATAAGAAATGAAAAAAAATGTGTGTTTCAGGAACTGCCTTATTTGTTATCATTAAATTTGTCTATATGTTTGCTTGTTTAATGAAACAATTAATTAGCTATGCAGTCCCTAATTTATACATAGTCACATGCTCTCATCTTTCATCTATGCTTTCCTGTGAGAGAAACGTTTCTCTGGAGTAATAAACGGATGGCCTCAGCAATCTGACTTGGCCACTTACTCTCTGGTCATGGGGATCCTGGAGCTAGTCAATCACATACTAATTCTTACTAACCAATTCTTCAGTAAGAATGGCTTACAAAGGAATAGTTACCATGTAATTCTCTTAACACTTTACCTCTTTGCTCCTTGGAGATTTTTGAAATGACAACTGGAATATTATGTTCTGCTCCCCCCTAAAAAGAGAAAATCATATATTGTGCTTTTTAATTGCAAAAAATAAAAATACAGCTTTTAATTAGGAAACAATATATGCCATGAATAATATGTTAATGGACACCAGCTATAATTTAAATAAACTCATGGAATTTCTCCACTCAGCAGATAGGGCTCCCAAAAAACTTATCTACCAGGGATCCTTGGGTGGCTCAGTGGTTTAGCGTCTGCCTTTAGCCCAGGGCATGACCCTGGAGTCCCAGGATTGAGTCCCACATCAGGCTCCCTGCATGGAGCCTGCTTCTCCCTCTGCCTGTGTCTCTGCCTCTCTCTCTCTATCTCTCTGTGTCTTTCATGAATAATAATAATAAAAAAAAGTATCTACCAGTTTAGAATTTCACTGTGCATCTAGTAATTAATAACAGTTGATTTTGAGAGTTTTTGTTTTTAAATAAAGATTGGAAATGCCTTAAATAGGCATTCTTTTCAATGTGTAGCATGCTGTCCATTGTAGAAATTCTTATTTAGAGTCCTAAATACCAGATAATTTTGTATTTCCATTAACTAGCAAAGTTGTTCTATGGTGGTGACCAAGCACAGATCCTTTGATATGCTAAGTGAACTTTACTTGCACAAAAAAATGAGAGTGTGCATGTGCATGATGAAAAAGGAATCATCCACAAATCTTTAATTAAAATTAGATTCCTTTGTATGAAAGCACATACAACATAATTAACAGAATAAAATAAACTGACAAAAACATTGTAGTAATTCTTAATCTAATTGACCAAATGAGATATGAAAAAATGAAAAATAAGTAAGTGAAACATATGGAAGCAAATAAAATAAATTGCTGAAATAAGTGCATAAAAATTCTCTTTTGATATTGTAGAGTTGAGAGGTTTGAAAACAGTAATTGAAAAATCAAATAAATGCATTAAAGAATAAAACATCTGGGTTTCTGGGTGGCTTAGTCTGTTGTGTTTACCTTTAGCTGAAGTCAGGATCCTGGGATCCTGTAATGGAGCTCTGCATTTGGCTCCCTGCTCAGGGGGGAGTCTGCTTCTCCCTGTCCCTCTGCACCCCTCGCTCCATGATCTTCACTCTCTCTTTCTCACTCTTTCCCTCACATAAATAAAATCTTTCAAAAATTATTAAAAATAAAAATAAAAAGAATAAAATGTCATGCATAAAAGAAGTATAGCACTGTTAACATAGGATAGTTGAAAAGACAATCTAAAATTCCACTGGGTTTCTCTATCTTCATAACAAAAGTTATTTTAGAACTGTATTTTTTCCATGAATATCAATTTTTAACGGTGAATTATCACTATATTTAAATATAAGGTGATCAATAGTTTTTGAGAAAAGTAGTAATATTCAACTTTTTCTTGGCAAATAGTCCTTTGCACTTCTAGAATATTAGAGACATGATAAATAAAATATTGAAAACTATCTTAGATTGAAATTCAAACACACTGCTACCAACAAAATATTCATCTACCTACCCTCACTAGCTCTGTGGTCTCTGGCCTTAGCCACATGGCTTCTAATTCTGCTTTGCCTTTCGGTCAGCATGTTCATAACAAGCACAAATTCTAAAATGACTTCTCATCTAATCAAAAGATAGTAATTTGTGACTGATAGTATCATTGAAATGAGTGCTTATTTAGCACACAATAAATACAAGTCAGCTATTATTCTATAAAGTCTGTTGATGAAGATTTATGAATAAAATAATATGGCATTAGGGTAGTAAATAATCTTAGCACTAATCCATTCTAAGACTGAATATTTACTACTTAGAGTTTTAAGTTCCCAATTCTCTTTTTCTGTTCTATTCTTTCTTTACCATTATACTTATCAGCTTCCAATCTCCTCTTATCTCTACTCATTTCTTATACTTATTATTTGCTTTCATTCTCCTTCCACCACTCGTATCTAGAATGCAAGTTCCAATAGGGCATTAAATTTTTCTGGTAGTTTGTTTCATATGTTGGTGTAAACTCAGTGAATGGAATAATGTGTTTCTTTTTTATATTTGAAATGTTTGTTGATGAATGAGTGAATAGAATAAATGAAGTCAAATATAAGTCAAAAGCTTTCCCAGGCCCAAGATAGCCCCATTCTTTAAAACACATTGCAGAATGAGGGGTACCTGGGTGGCTCAGTCAGTTAAGTATCTGCCTTTGGCTCAGGTCATGATCTCAGGGTCCTGGGATGAAGCCTAACATTGGGTTCCCTGCTCAGCAGGGAGTTTGTGTCTCCCTCTCCCTCTTCCTCTCCCTCTGCCCCTCTCTCTGCTCATGCTCTCTTTCTCTCTCAAATAAATAAATAAAATCTTAAAAAAAATTGCAAAATGATTTTAAGTAGAAGCTAAGAATGTATAATGAAATTAAATGCCCATGGTTACAGTTAGTTTCTAGAGATATTTGGAAATTGAAAAGGATTTTAGGAATACATCTCCATTTCTTAGAAGAAAGAACTAGTTAACTGAGATGAATCATCCACCAATGAAGTTTTAGGTGGCATAAAAAGAAGAAACAAATTCATCCAGATATTATATGGTTCAGATATTTTGGGACAGAAAGTGTTGTTTATGTCACTCTTGTCTGTATGGCTGTCATCAGCTGTTTTCACTTTTCACAGTTTTCTCTCCTTTAACTACTTATCCAAAGATTTTCTTAGTGCTCAGACTTTTCATGCCAGTTACCATGGTACTACAGTGGGAAAACTCTCCCTGGGATCTGTCTAGAGAAAAACACTGTTGAAATAGCAATTTCTGAAGGCCAACTCAGTAACTCCTCCCTCAAGACCAGAGTGCTGGAACTATGTTTAAAGGACAGGATAAAACTAACTCCTATTTTTTCAACATTTTTTTTGTATGTAAAATTTCTCCTGATATTTGAATGGTTTGAGTCCAAAGGTGGTTTCTTTATTTTGTTTTTGTTGTTGTTGTTTTGTTTTGTTTTGTTTTTGTTTTGAATCAGACATTAGGGGCTTTGAAAGAATTCCTAAACTAACTGCAGAAAATTACTTTATTTAATTAATTAGCAAATTTTCAGGAGACAAAATTGGAACTTAAACTTACTGTACCTTAATATACTAGATGAATTGTGAGAGCAGTCCAGCTCTACTAAAGTTAATTAGATTTAGTTCTGTACCTAAATGGGTAAATGTAAGGTTCTCCAGTCAAGAATCACATAATGCAACTCATCTTGTTTAAAACAGGTGATAGGCTTCCTATTACAGGTGGAAAAAAAACCCCAATCCTCAGCAGGCTGTCTGGTGACTTCAGCCTTCTCTCCATCTTCATCCAGGAACTTTGTCACTCTGAGCACCACAGGGCAGCATTATACACTATTCCTTCTGCCTGGATGTTTTTGTTTTTGTTTTTTGTTTTTCTTTTACTGTTAACCCGGTAAACTCTTACTCAAATTCAGAATTTCAGCTAAAGGACCCCATTCATCAGTGTCTCCTTACTTGATATAATTCACTTCTGTAACACTGGATCCAGGTTATTATTTACATTTATTTACCTCACAATTTGATCAATGTCGACTTTCCCACTGGATTGTAAAGAGCAGGAGGTCGAGGCAGACCTTCCTTTACTGGCTTCGCCCCAACTCACCCTTAGACCAGCCAGGGTGCAGACTTGTGCTCCAGGTTTAGAGAATAAATGAATTAACTGAGCTTTGTTGCTCCAGTATAAAATCAAGACTAGGGAAAGTGAGGCAATATTCTACGGTGCATCCCAAAAATTATTAAAATAGTTACCATTCAATGCAAAATTAAGTTTAAAACTAGTCTTACAGGAACCAGGATATAACTTCCCATCTAATACATTTTAAGTAGGCCTCTATAGAAAGAATTTACCAGTATAACTAAAATTCTGCCAAATCCAACCCAGAATGTTTTTAGAGCATTGGAAGTCTTAACCGAATAAATATTTTGGATCCAATATTGTCATTATTCTGGTTAATCAATTAATCAATTATATTCTAGCCTCTGGGGGGAAAAGATACATAAACCCCACCATTATATATCTATTTAGAACAAGGAAAATATTTGTAAACAGATAATAACAGCACAGTAATTAAGGTCAAGAGCCTAATGAACAAGCATGGAAGAAACACCTAAAATAATATGATCTGAAAGGACATGGGAAAATATGCTCTATTTGAGTGCCATGCCTACCTGCTAATATCACTTAGTTTGATTTTGGCAGAAATGTAATGGTATGTGTCCATATTGTCTCTGGTGGAAACAGAAGAATGAGAATCAAAAAAAAAGAACAGGGAAGAGAATGAGAAGAAATGTATATAAATGTGGGCATACTTATATCACCCACTAATAAATTAAAAGGTAGAAATTTATTATAGCTGTTATGAAGACATATATTTTTATTTGGTAAATTTGATACAATCAATACCAACTCCTTCATATTAAATTGCTTACTTGATCCTGGACTTACTGATCCTTTTAGTTTAGTTTTGAATAAACCAGAATGTAGATAATTTAGAAAGGAAACATTATTTGTGTTCCCAAGTATAGAGTTTAGAGATAATTTAGTTTGGTTTCTATAGCTACAGAGCATAGTTATTAAGAGTAAGGACTACATCATTTGCTTTATGTGAGGTTAGGCCCAGCTCTGCCAAGTACAGCAATGAGTAAATTACTCAACCTCTTAATACTTGACTGCACTGTCTATAGAGGGATAGCAATAGTTACCTACTTTGCTGGATACTAAAGGGCAAATGAAACTGAATATAAAGCATTTAGCATCTGTCACTTAAAGAGCAGTTAGTTAATATATACTTGCAATATTGTTTATAAGTGATAAGGTTTTAATAATAATTATAATTTCATTCTTGATTGCTGCAAAGTTAAAGCTTTCATATAAAAATCATTTTTGAGGTGATCCCTGGGTGGCGCAGTGGTTTCGTGCCTGCCTTTGGCCCAGGGCGCAATCCTGGAGTCCTGGAATTGAGTCCCGCGTTGGGCTCCTGGCGTGGAACCT